ATTAATTCCAAATTTCAATTTTGCTTTTTCTTTTGGTTTGTTTGTTGTTAGAAAACATGTTATTCCGTAACTCAAAAGTGATTAAATGAATTACAACCCGATGAATAGATTACTAACCTAGGGAAACAAAGGAAATTATAATGAATTAAGTGTTAACACTCATTGGAACTGTCGTGACGAGTTTTAATAATTGATTGTTAGTACCAAGATTAAGACTCGTGAGAATAATGTTTAATGTAAACAAAAAAAATAAATAAAAACTATAGTGAGTAAGTGAATGATTAAAAACACACACCTTGAGATTATTAGCTTCGTCGTCTTTAGGATGTGAGTTTGTTGAGAAATAAACTTCAGGAGACCGATCTTGAACATTGTTCTTCTTGCAAAATGGCAACCAATGCTTAGAGAACTTAGCAGCCTCCATTAAAGCAAACAAGGTCAAGGACGATCCTCCATCGTCCGACACGTAGACCGAGATCTTATCCGCCGGATAATCGTAAGCCATCACTGATAAGGCAGTGTTGGCCACCATCAACGGAGGCTCCTTGTAAGGATCAGCCGTGCATATAAACACGTCGAGCTTCGGAAAGTCTTCCGGTTTAGCTTCATATCTCTCGGGGTACTCGGACCGGTGAACCGGATTTAACCGGAGGCAAGTTGTGGTGGCCCACATGAAGGTGAGAACAATATCAGAGAGGAGAAGAAGAGAAGTTATTAGAGTAGAGCTTGTTCTTGTGAGAAGGGAGTGTGCATGGTGATACATGAGGGCTACGATGCCACACGTGTGAACCACCGCGTAGATTCGGTAGAGAGTGGCGCGCCGGCACGGACGACACGTGTGGAGGGTTGTGCCGCCGACCGAATGTTTTCGATGACGCTCCATCGTTTTACTTGTTTGTTTGTTTTTTTTTTAATAGATGAAGACAAATAGTTTTGGAGAAGATTGGTACGTACTACGTAGAACAAAACTCACCAGTAATAGATTCTTGATATTTTATAGGCGAGTTTCTTTAGAGAAAGAGTAGATGTTTTTTTATAAAATGAATGATTACTTCTAATGTCCTTTAAATGTAACGTGTAGACAGAGCCGTGCCCCACTTGATATAAATTGAGGCAATGGTCTTGGAACCTCCTTGATTTTATAGAATTTTGGAGCCTCAAATTTTTTTAAAATGGTAAATTATACGTTTTCTGTATTATTTTAAATGATTTTTAAAGTTTTTACACATAAATTAAAAAACTATTTAATTTTCTATTTTTCAACATAAAACCACTAATTCTAATACAATTCAACTAATAGAAAATTAATCTGCAGAATTTAAAGAGTCAAAAACAACAAAAACATAATTAATTTTACTTTAAAAACTTAAAATATCATCTAATTTGAGACAAAAAAAACTCTCTAAAAAATCATCTAATATGATATGGAAGGAGTATGTATTTTCCAAAATAATTTTAATTTGATATTATTATCTAAACTAATTTTGAGTCTAAAATTTTTTTTAACACTACTTTTGGAACCCCAAAATTTTTTTTACCTTAGACCTCTTGAACTCTAAAAATTAATTTGTTCAAGTTTTTTCTTTTGTATGTTTTTATTTTATAATTACTAAAATAATATATATATATATAAGCACATAATAACGCGTTAAATTGGAATCAAACTAGCCATAACATTCACTCTATTTAAGCGGTCCAACCCAATAACGAAAATCGATCGGCCATCATCGGAAAACCATCAATACCCAACTATGATTTCATATTTTCAAGTCCTCTCTTGAGTCTTGATATATGTAGACTTGGAAGTTTGAACAATTGTGAATCCTTAGGGTAGCTGAATAGACACTCCCATAGAAGGTAAGGACTGTAGTAAAGAACCCTATATATGATTATCACTGTAAATAATTTCTGAAAAAATATATTGACGTTTCTGTATTTAAAGATGGTTTCCTGCGAGTTTTTATCGAAACAATTAACTTTAAATCTCCCTATATTATATAAAAAAAGAAAAGAACAAATCATGTGGATGAAGATAGGGATTGTCAGAGCCACTGGCACTGGCTTCACAAAATGTCGGCGAGATAGAAAATGAAAGAGTAGAGACAATAACGTCATCACAATAGGCATACGC